GAGATAGGAGCAGGAGAATCAGAGGCCAAGAACAAGGAGAGACACGAGGGCAGAGGAGAGAGCAATGTGACTGACAGCTGGGGCCGGGAGCCAGGGAATATGGGCAGCCTCTAAAAGCTAGAAAAGGAGGGAAACAAATTCTCCCCTAGAGCCTCCAGAAAGAAGGCTGCCCTGCCCACTCACTTCTGACTTTTGACTCCAGAATCAGAAGAGAACATGTATGTGTTGCTTTACTGCACTGAGTTTGTGGCAATTTGTTACAGCAGCAAAATAAAATAAATGCAGGTGGAAAGCTAAAGGAGCGAGGTATCCAGAAGCCAGGTGAACACAGCCTATCAAGGACAGGGCAGTGATCACCATGTCGAGAGTTCTGTCAAGCCAGCTGAGGACTGGCCATCAGGTTTAGACAGGGGCAGGTCCCGATGACCATGACAAGGGCACTTTCAGTACCACGGTGGGTTTCAGAGAGAACAAGATGCTCACTACTTGTCTGTCTAAATGAATGGAAGGCAACGTATGGACCAATGGTGAATGTGTGTCTTAAGATAAATAATAAAGAAAGTGAAGATGATGGATGCTGCTCAGGCATCACTTTTGGTTCTCTGCTGGGAATGTTTCCAGAAATGATTACTCTCAGGTGTTTCTGAGATTCCTGTCTGTTTCTTTTTATTTCCCCCATAGAGTCCTAACTTCCAGTAAAAGTGAAAGTCGTTCACTTGTGTCTGACTCTTTGTGACCCCGTGGACTATACAGACCATGGAATTCTCCAGGCCAGAATACTGGAGGGGGTAGCCTTTTCTTCTCCAGGTGATCTTCCCAACCCAGGAATAAAACCCAGGTCTCCTGCATTGCAGGCAGATTCTTTATCAGCTGAGCCACAAGGGAAGCCCTAATTTCAACCTTCCCCTTAATTTAGGTCTCGAAGCCCCTTCTCTGAATTCCAGGGTAACATCAGGGAGCAGTCTTGGAGCCTGTGTTTACCCCATGTCACATGGAACCACATGGCTTGGGTCCCTGGCTCTCTCCCAGCTGGCCCTAGCTTCATCCTCCTGGTAAAGCCCACCTGCCACCACAAGGCCCTGGCAAGGAGCAAAGGATGGTAGCTGCTGATGGGCCAGGCAGGCCCATTTAGGGGGCCCTCCTGTAGGCTAAGCAAATCTTGACCCCCGTCAGTCAGCAGACTTGTCACGTCCACTCTGCTCTGCAGGTGGGGACAGTTTGGCAAGTTCCCCAAGCACGGGCTTTTATCTGAACTCTCAGCTCAGACCGGTGCTCCAAGCTGTGCTGTGCTCAAGCTGTTCCGGAGCCTGGGGTGGGGTGGAAACCCTGAGTCTTCCTGCACTTAGATCTCCTCCTTAATTACTCAAGCTCTGAACCTCTGAATGTCTGGACCGTCAGAGCCTGGCAGAAGCACACATGGCACAATCTGTGGATTTCTCAGCCACTCAGAGATATGCCTTATGGGACTAGGACACGACATCCAGAGACATTCAGAAGGCAGGGTTCGCCCAACAGCAGGGGCTGGGAGTCAGGGCTTGCCTTCTTCCAGGGTCTCCTCAAACAGGGCTTTTCTCCAGGGGCAAGCTTAGATGTCTGCCCACAAGAAGCATTCTTGAGGTCCAGCAGTGTGAGATGGTGAGGGGAGTGTGGTCTGCCCTTTCACAGTTATTTTCCTCATCGCAGCAGGTCTGGAGTGAGGGAAGGATTCTGGTTGGACTGTGACAAAAGCTGTAGCTCTCTCACCAGAAAAATGCACAGCCACACATTTTTATACATAATTTCATCTCTTCCATCAATCTCAGAAAATACTCCTCAGATCACCAGGGTTAAGAAGCTCCGCTTTAGGTGTCTTCCAAAGTGTGATACTTACTCCACTGATGGTGTTTAGGATTTCAGGGGATGGGAGGATGAGCATTTATTTTAACAGCTCTATTTTCAAAGTGCATGTAAAATCTGTGATTTCACTGGTAATAATGCCTAGGGCAAGTAAGTGGTAAAATAGAGAGTGAGTCTACTTATAGATAAACATTAAATAGTTCAAGTCCTATGCCAATTTGGAAAAAAAACTGGAACACTGATTCATGGATGACCTACGTCTGGGAAACACAGTTTCCATGGCCTTGGGAGGCCATTTCTTTCATATTTCTTTAAAAAAAAAAAAAAAAAGAGCAAAATCTTGAAAGCCAAAACTTGAGAAAGATTGGAAGAGAATACAACAGAATGTGACAGCACTTGATTTTTGGATGGTAGGATGATGATTGAGAGTTCCCCCACCCCCGACTTTTTTAAATTTTGGCTTTTTCAAAAATGATATGGAGACAACCTTATCATTTTCATATTATGAAAAAGTAAGTTTATTTAACAACTATTTAAAAATGAAAGTGTTAGAATTTTTAAACCGTGACGTAGACCCACATTTAAGCAAGCCTGGTTCATCTGCTGAAGTGGAGAGCTTTCCTCCTGTCAGTTTTCAGCACGGAGCCTTAATGAAGAAGGTAGAAAATCATTGACTTACACATCTCACTTCAATATTTTTAAATCTTTGGGGATATTTGTATGCAAATGGGAACGTGAGCTCATGGCTGGCAGAATTCANGACTCTTTGCGACCCCATGGACAAAACAGTCCATGGAATTCTCCAGAATACTGGAGTGTACCCACTTCTTCCTTTTCCTTCTCCAGGGTATCTTTCCAACCCAGCGATTGAACTCAGGTCTTCCGCATTGCAAGCGAATTCTTTACCAGCTGAGCCACAAGGGAAGTCCAAGAATACTGGAATGGGTAGCCTATCCCTTCTCCAGGGGATCTTCCTGACCCAGAAATTGAACCAGGGTCTCCTGCATTGCAGGTACATTCTTTACCAACTGAGCTATGAGGGAAGCAAAGAAAAACGAAGCCAAATCAAACCACAGTGCTGGGTGGCTAGCAGAGCCAGGAGGTGGGGCCATCTCAGGAGAGATACTGTGGACGGCACTGTGGACGGCGCTGGGAGGAGAGGTCACACCCTAGGCTCCTGTTGATAGGTTACAATTACAATATAGAATGCCTTCCATAAGCCATCACATGCCTAGAAGTCTCTAGTATTCTGGCCTATGCCTCTCACTTCCTGCACTCAACTTCAGTTAAACCTACGGCTAAGCCCCTTCGGCATGATCTGACACCAAATGTCAGCTTCCAAGATTAAACTGGACTCCTGCTGCAGAATAGTGTCCTATCATTTTACCTATGAAGTCTCCCAAATTCAACCTTCCCCTCTTCTTGGTCAAAGCCAGTGTTACCTCTCACTGGGGCTACAGGCTAGCCTCCTGCCTGGTCTCCGCACACCCATTTTGGCTCCCTCCACTCCTCCTCATCACTGCAGCTGGGATGGTCTTCCAAAGATGCAAATCTGAGCACGCTATATCTCCTCTTGAATCTGTTCCCTGCCTTTCGGTTGTTCTTAGAATCATGACCCAAATCCTGAGCACAGCCGCCTGGCTGATTGGCCTCCTTCCACTTCCCTCTCCTTGCCCACCAGCTTCTGGTTACATTGGTTTTATTTCTGTCCCTTGACTCTGCCAAGTCCTTACCCTTCAGAGCCTCCAGGTATTCTGTTCCCTCTGTCTGGAGTGTTGTACTCACCACACTCCACCTGGCTAAAGCCAGGTATCCATTGATTAGCTCCCAGGGTAAACAGCACTTTCTCCAGAAAGTCCTCCCTGATTCACACTCTGATGGCACCAGGTAATTCAAGAACTACTGTAGCCTGTTGGGTCCATGAATGAGACCATATTGTTTTGTCCATTGGTACCTCAGTCCCTTGGTATCAGTGCCTAGCTCAGTGCTGCCAATCATTAACATATCAAGAGAGTGAGTGAATCAGTGATCAAAGAACTGGGCAGGATGGCTCAGTGAAAAGACACCTGGAACAGTGAGAGTCAAGTCCTTTCATCCAAAGACCTAAAAGCATTTGCTGGGGCCATCTTGAACGAAGAGCTAGAAGCAGGGAACAACTGTTGGTTTATGTCCAAGCATGATGGCTCCACTGTCCTCAGTCCTGCAGCTGGGCCTGGGGAAGGCCTGAAAGGTCAGTTTGCCTCAGGCCCAGGCCTACCCGGAGCCCAATAGATAAGATCCTCTCCCACACCCAAAGGTCCTTGGAATGGACAAGGTACTGATTTTGGAATCAGACACACTTGACTTTTCTACTATCTAGCTCAGATTCCCTCAGATCACAAACTGACCTCGAACTAGTGTTTCTTTGGGCCCCAGTTTCCACATCCTAAAATGGAGATAATAAAATGGAGAAAATAAAATACAGACAGCAGTTTGAATACCATCATGAGCCTGGAATGCACAGCTGCATGCAGCTCAGAGTGCTATTTCCCTCTCCCCAGCAAAACTGGCTTACCCCGTCACGTCACTCTGCTGGACACCCAGGCCAGCAGGCAGGGCATGAGACGAAGGGAGGTCTGAAGGGCGGGAGGACACAGGCCGTCTAAGACACTGCCCCAACTTTTCCACTCGGCCAGGGAAGCCCTGGCACAACACAAGGGTGGCACAGAGAAATCCAAACTAACTGAGAAGGGTGACCAGTCTGTGCCTTTTGGAGGCAGGAGCAGTGAGATGGGGAGGGGAGGACAGGTGAGCCTGGAAGCTATTATTCAAACAGAAACGAATAGTAGTTGCAAAAAGGGAGAGGCTGATAAGGGAACAGGAAGGAAAGACTGGGTGTGTGAGGGGCTGGGAGGGAAAAAGTGATCCAAGACGTCAGACGGCCAGAGGCTGCAGCAGGAACCAGTATGAAGAAGGAGACACCTTGGGAGGTGGGAGAAGCAGCAGACAGCAGAGGGTCAGGGGAAACGCTGGAAAGGGGCAAATTCCTGGTTGGGGAGCCAGCGGGGGCTAGCAGGGGCTTGTTACTGGGCCCTCCTGGAGCGCAGGTGCACCGGGCTCTCGGGCAGTGGAGAGCCGGTGGTGGGGGGAGGAAGCAGGGGTGTGAGACCACCGCCCGGCTGTACCTGGGGGTCTCCTTGCAGGTCGCCAACGTAGTACTGCTCCAGCCAGCGGCGCGCGTTGGCCGAGTGCCGGTGCGGCGGCCCGTCCAGGTCGGCGCTCACGTCCTGGCCCGCGCGCGCCCATAGCAGCTGCTCGCCCCCCGGGTGCTGCCGCACGAAGCCGGTGAGGTCGTAGAGGCGGGCCCCGCGGCGGACCCAGCAGGCGCCGGCCGCCAGGCGCCGCTGGACCTCAGCGGCGGAGAAGCAGGCGGCGGGGGGCGGAGCGGGGGCCATGGCGGGAGAGCGGAGCTCGCGGCTGGCTCGGAGGCTGCCCGGCGCGCCTCTGGCAGCCCGCGGCCGCCGCCGCCTTGACGGGCCGGCCGCCACCGCACCTGCTCATTTGCATGCCGCGCTCCCATTGGCCGCGCGGCGGGACTCCGCGGGGGCCGCTTCGCCATTGGCCGGCGGGACGCCCGGCAGACACTAGCGGGGCGGGCCGGCGAGGGCGCGCTCGGCCAGGTGGCCGGAGGCAGGCCGGGGCCCGCGCTGCACCGGGTGGTCCTAGGCAGGCCGAGGGCGCTCCCGCCGGGTGCGTCTCGTTGCACGAGAGCACAGGGGCAGGCGGTTGGAAGCGGGGCGAGTCCTCCCGTCGTCGGCGGCGGTCCAGACAGACGTGCTCCTTGGCCAGATCGCCACCGCTGCTGCCTTATCTCCGCCGATCTCCCAGATCGTCACTTGGGAGAAACCTTCAGGTTTCCATCCTTAGGCTTCAGGAGTGGGTGACGAGAAGGAGAGTCAGGGTGACAACTAGAGTAACGCAACCAAGACGCTGGCCTCTGGCGCCCCCAAACCCTGTAATCACAACACATAATATTTTAATAATAAATAGATAAATATTTTAACATTTAATAATGGGTTTCCCTGGTGGCTCAGAAGCTGAAGAATCTGCCTACCAATGCAGGAGACTCAAGAGATGTCAGTTCCATCCCTGGATCAGGAAGATCCTTTGGAGAAGGAAATGACAACCCATTCCAGTATTTCTGCCTGAAAAATTCCATGGACAGAGGAGCCTGGTGGGCTACAGTCCATGGGGTCACAAAGAGTTGGACATGACTGAGTGACTAAGCACACACAATATTTTAATGTAATATTTTTTAAAATTATGTAAATGGGCTTAATGCCACTGAACTGTTTTAAGATGGGTTAAAAGGTCACTTTTATGTCTATTTTACCAGAATAAAAATATATATAATAATAAAAAAAAAAAAGGAGTACTGGCAAAGCAGTCAGTGGGCTGGCCACCTGCTTTTGTAAAGTTTTAGTGGAACTAGGACTAGTGAGAGGAGTGAAGCAGGGTAGTGAACATGAAGGGTTGGATCTGGTCTTTAATGCTTTAAGTTTAACTATTTTGTTCATCATGGATTTTTTTGCACTAGCTTTGAATTTTTAAAATACTGCATTAATATTATTATTGCCATGCCGAATTTGGGATCTTAGTTTCCAGACCCAGGATTGAATCCTTGCCCCCTGCGGTGTAATACTCAGTGTAACACAAGAGTCTTAACCACTGGACCACCAGGAAGGTCCCTAAAGTATTCTTTATCTTGATTACTGAGATTTTTTGGCATACCCTTAAGTTTTGCAAACAGAGCGACTGCCTGAGTCGCCTCAGTCTAGTTTCAGCTTCTGGAGAGGGCTCTGAAGGAAGAACAGAAAATGACATTGCCATTACAGAAAAAGAAATAGGGATCTAAAGAAGTGAAGCCCAGTGACCATGAGGCTGGATGGGAGGGAAGACCAAGAGTGCTCACCCAGGTTTGTTTATAACAGGGAAGAACTGCACACAACTTTGCCCACTTCAGCTTGTGGTTGGTAATAAAAGGATCCTGGTACTGAGGCTGCATCCATTTAACTGGTTTTGTTCTCTCCCAGAAAAAGGTATTTTCAGGGTCACCTCTGTTTATGCTGTTGTGGGGGTGGGCCTCTATGCTGGGTCAGTGCTGTGGGAGCCTAGCTCAGATGCCCTAGGGGCTACCCCAGCTACAGACATGTCCAAGGTCAGGTGGCACTAGTTGTAAAGAATCCGCCTGCCAATGCAGGAGACACAGGAGACATGGGTTCGATCCCTGGGTCAGGAAGATTCCTTGGAGAAGGAAATGGAAATGGCAACCCACTCAAGTATTCTTGTCTGGAAAATTCCATGGACAGAGAAACTGGCGGGCTTCAAAGAGTCAGACACAACTGAGCACACACACACACAAGGTTAGGAGCGTCGTCCTTTCTTCTTTCCCTTCCGAGCCTTTCCTGGCTCACCCTCCGGGAGAAGGCAAGAGTTTGGCTGAGTCCACAGGTTGGCTGTGAAATTGCTGTCTACCAGCCATGGAGGGAGGCCTTGCGTCACTAATGTTGCTTTCTCAAATAGTGAATACCTAAACAGTCCCTCTCACACCACTTTGACATCTACTCTGATCCAAATATCTTTCATGTGCAAAAGCATTCTAGCACTCATGGGTATCCTCAGGGACTTCCTGATGGTGATATCTGTTAGGACTTCCATATTTGGGTTTTTCACCATTGCCTTAAATTCCTATTATCTGAAGTTGAAGAAGCAATTTAGTCATCTATTCAGAATTATAACACATTTCTTACCATACTAATTCCACTACTAGAAATTTAACCTTTCACCTTACTGTATAAAGATGTGTAAGGGGAGGAAAAATAATTTTCCTTCTATCCTTTTAGGTTCTGGGCTGAGATACCCTCTGTAATAAAATAAATATTAACAGAAGAAAAACAAATTTAATTTCATATGTATGGGGCCCCACATCTATGAGAGCCGAAGAAGTGACCAGGGCAGGCAAACTTTGTACTTTTTAGACAAAGAAAAGATAAATTTGTGAAGAACTGATAAGACAAGTTTGAGCTTGGAGCAGTAAATTAGTAAAGAAGTAACAAGATTTGTTTATATAGCCTTCTCAGCCCTGAATTCCCTGTTTCTGATAAGGATGTCTCTCTACCTTCTGGTATAGGAAAGGCACATTTCACGTGGGAGATTTATTTCCTCCACTTAAGGTGATGAAGGAAGGTCAGAGTGCTTTTCTTGTACCAGCTGTTTTTTAAGTAAATTTAATTCAAAATAGTCAATATGCCAAGTGAAAGTGAAAGTCACTCAGTCATGTCTGACTCTTTGCGACCCCATGGACTATACAGCTCATGGAATTCTCCAGGCCAGAATACTGGAGTGGGTAGCCTTCCCCTTCTCCAGGGGATCTTACCAACCCAGGAATCAAACCAGGGTCTCCTGCATTGCAGGTGGATTCTTCACCAACTGAGTCACCAGGGAAGCCCCAATATGCCAAAGTGGCCTATTTTGTTGTGGCCTGTCCTGAACTCCATCAGAGGTGTGCATAATAATAATTGCAATACTGCTTATAGATAAAAAACACCCAATATTCATCCTTAGGGTGGACTGATTAAATAAAGGACGGTGTAGTCAGTGGAATACTAATCATTAGAAAGAAAGAGGTATACCTACGTGTACTGATAGGGAACAATCTCTACGCTATTTTTAGTGGAAAACAAGAATAATCAGTATGCTAATGATTATTTTACTATTTTAAATTATTTAATTTTAAAAATATTTTAAAGGTTTATAAAAGAGTATATATAAGTTTTAAAGCAAAAATAGTATAATTCAATGAATTTGCCTCCCAACTCAAGAGCTGCGTGCATGCATGCTAAGTTGCTTCAGTTGTGCTCAACTCTTTGTGACACTATGGACTGTAATCCTCTGTCCATGGCATTCTCCAAGCAAGAATACTGGAGTGGGTTGCCACGCCCTCCTCCAGGGGATCTTCTGAACCCAGGGATTGAACTCGAGTCTCCTGCAGCTCCTGCATCTCAGACGAAGTCTTTATCACTAAGCCACTGGGGAAGCCCCAACCCAGATACCAAAATCTGCAGATGCTCAAGTATTATATAAAATGGCATAGTATTTGCATATAACCTACATACATCCTCCTGTATACTTTAAATCAGATTACTTATAATACTTATAATACCTTATAATACTGAGGTATTATAAGTTGTGTCCGACTCTTTACGACCGCATGAACCACAGCATGCCAGGCCTCCCTGTCCATCACCAGCTTCCGGAGTTCACCCAAACCCAAACCCATGTCCATTGAGTCGGTGATGCCATCCAACCATCTCATCCTCTGTTGTTCCCTTCTCCTCCTGCCTCCAATCTTTCCCAGCATCAGGGTCTCTTCAAATGAGTCAGCTCTTCGAATCAGGTGGCCAAAGTATTGGAGTTTCAGCTTCAACATCAGTTCTACCAAAGAACACCCAGGACTTATCTCCATTAGGATGGACTAGTTGGATCCAGTACTTATAATACCTAGTACAATGTAAATGCTATGTAAATAGTTGCTGATGCATGGCAAACTCAAGTTTTGGTTTTTGGTACTTTTGCAATTTTTTTCCCCCAAATATTTTTGATTTGCAGTTGGTTGAATCCATAGATTCAATCCACAGATATGGAGAGCCAACTATACAGTTCTATGAGTTATGGGGATCTTTTATACTATTATAAAGATCAGGAATTTTTTTGTTTGTTTCTCCTTTTGCCAATACCACATTATCTTTATTATTATAACTTTATAATAAATCTTGGTATCTGGTAAGTCTACTGTTCACACCCTGTTCTCCTTTAGAGGGTGTCTTGGTTTCTATTTGGGTTTTTCTTTTTTCACATAAACTTTAGAATCAATGTGTCAATGTCCATGAAAAAGCCTATTCAGATTATTAAAGGAACTACATTGACTCTATAGATTAATTTGGAAAGGACTGATATGTATGCAAGGTGGCACTACTGGTAAGGAATCCACCTGCCAATGCAGGAGACATAAGAAATGCAGGTTTGATCCCTGGGTTGAGAAGAGCCCCTAGAGAAGGAAATGTCAACCCACTCCAGTATTCTTGGCATGGAAAAATCCCATGGACAGAGGAGCCTGGTGGGCCACAGTCCATGGGGTCTCCAAGAGTTGGGCACAACTGAGCACATACACACACACACACACACACACACACACACACACACACACTAGGTTTACAGTACCAAGTCTTCCTATTTATGAACTTTATTTATGAACTTGAGCTATATCTCTACTTATTCCCATCATATGTGATATTGTTTCATAAATTTTAAAATTTTATGCATACAGGACTTACACATATATGTTAAATTAACTTACAAGTTTACCTTATAGGGTTTTGTTTTTGCTATTGTAAATGGCTTTTTAAAAAAAAAAAAAGTTTTTTCTTGTTGAAGTA